TAGCCCTCTAAAATCAAAATTGAACCTTGGTCTCTCAGTCTCAGGCTCTCAGCACTCACGGCCCACAGTCACAGCCTCACAGGCACAGAATTTAAAAATTAAAAAAACTAATATATATATTAGACCCGCCTTGACCGAGGAAAAGGTTCTGTCGCTCGTAGTATGCTGGTATAATTGTTTTAAATAAATAATTGATTTGACGCACATACATATTGAAAAAGAAAGAGAATAATATGGAATTCGATATGTAAGTTATGTAACTCACCTGCTCCTCTAGTAGCCTCTGGCGTGAATCTAAGATTTCACGCAGGCAGCCTGGCAGGGGAGTCAGGACTTAGGAGTAGCGAACTAGTGACTAGCGTAATGGCGTTACTAATCCTCACTACTAAATCATAATGTACCACCATGAGTCATCGAAGGGTAATTAAGAGTCGAATTCTTCATTTTTAAAAAGATGATACAAATTTGAAATTACTAAATATGTAGTTTAGGATAATTATTTTATCCAATAATTTTACTACTATGTTCTGAAACTAATATATATATTTACTGAAATCATAGAGTTAATATTTTTGTTTTAAAAAAAGCAACAAATATAGGTCATGGACTTTTAGGACTCACGGGATCACTAAGTGACGCTATTTATGTATTTAGTATAACTTCTACTCTACTCTCAGTGAGAGATAGATAGATAGATAGACAGACACCCGAGGAAAGTGCCAACTGCCGACAGCCCGACACCCGAGGGCCGAGGGCCCGAGTCCCGACTGCAATGTGCCAACTCCGAGTGCCAATAACTCCTATGGTGAGTAGTGACTACTGACTAGACTCTGAGTGGCCATAAAGAATCACCTTTAAAAATTCAATTGTATGTATAATGTATTCACTAAAATTAGATCATATCGCAGACAATCATTCTACTAGGCTAGCCAGTAAAATCACGACTTAAAAAAACACTTCCGAGCGAGTCTACGAGAGCGAAGTAGTCTGCGGCTCTGAATTTAGTTAGAATTTGATTTCCGCTCCCAACGAGTCTTCTGAGTCGAGACTGAGAGTTACTCGAGACGAGACTCGAGTCGGGAGTCGAGGGCCAGTATCAAAACAGGAATGTCTTTATACGGCACTAGTGACAACAAAATTACTAACCACCTCGGGCCCAGTTTCCTACCAGTCTCATACTTGTACTTTTTCGAGTTTAATTTGCTTCAATATAAATGTATTTTAAAATGTTATTAGCGTGATTTTAAGCACTTGTGAGATGTGTTTGTTTGTTATCTGCCGGCTGAAAGCGCTTTCGTTTTTATTTTGTTTACAAAACATAACGAAAAGAAAACGAAGTACAAAATATGAAAATAAACACTTCTCGTCATGCCAATCTCGCGTTGTATTTATTTTCTTTTTGATAAAATTTTGAATTGTTGACAGTTCACACACTCTCTTGGTCATTTTTTTTAGAAACCTTTATCAGAAATAGCCTTCTATTTTTATTTCTATTTTTAACAAAAACCGAACACTTTATCAAATAGCTTTCCGTCTTCCGAGGACTGGAGTCTGAGAAATACATGAAATACATATTTTTTCCGTCTTTTTCTTCCTCAAAGGCCTTTTTTTTAATAACTTGAATACATGTGAGTTAAAAATAGGGCAAAGCAAAACCCAAAAACCGAGCACTTTATCAAATAGCCTTCCGTCTGCCGAGGACTGGAGTCTGAGAAAAAAACGAAATACATATTTTTTTCGTCTTTTTCTTCCTCAAAGGCCTTTTTTCTTTAACTTGAATATATATGTGTTAAAAATAGGGCAAAGCTCATTACACGCGTCTGTTAACACTTCACAAATCACAAGTTCACAACTCAAACCTCAGTCAACTTTACTGCCTTCAGGCTTCAGCCCTGACTCTCAGGGGCCCAGGGCTCCATGCCCCAGGGCCTCTCTTTTTCTCCTCTACGTAGAGAGAGAGAGACTGAGAGAGAGCTCAAGCCTAGAGAGGGCTTAGGCCCAGGGCTCGTCCTCTTGGCCTCTTCAGGACTCAGGAATCACCAACTTACAGTCTCACCGAGAAAGTTAGTCCAGTGAGTATTTTTTTAAAACACCAGTATTTAAATACACCACTCAAAAGTCAAAGGCTAACCTCTTTTCCTTTTTTATTTATTTATTTAGTGTTTCCTCCATTGTACAAAAAAACGGTCTTTTTTAAATACGACATTTGTTCTTTCTTTCGAAGGCTATGTTTTTATATATTTTTCTTCCAGATACAGAGCCAGGGCTACCAGAGCCCAAACTCCAGTGGTTGTACTCCCCCTTATCAAGAAGCAAGGTTTTCGCTCTCAGCTCCTTGACTCTTGACTCACCTGAGTCTTATGGACGTGAACTTGTGAAGTTAAATTCTCGAATGAATATGAGTTACTAAATACGGGTTGTGCTTCATCTAATAGAATAGGGAGGGGGGTTTTTTTACGAAGTATTTTTAGCCGACTTATTCATTATTGACTATGCCGAAACAAGTTATGCGAGACAGCGAGAGTGTCTGAGATATATTTACTATTTAGTACATACTTCGACTTCACTCTTCAGTGCTTCTCTTATACGGAGCAAAACAAAGAATTGTTTTTACTGGCTGGACAGTTTGTCGCAGAGTTTTAGTATATAAAAAAACTAACTTTTGAAGTTCGAAGTTCGAAGACAAATTTCAATATCCTAAGTATCTATTTTTATTTATGATTTGTTTGATTTCCTTAGATTCATACTATGTAGCATGTAAATACATAACTATTATATATATAAAAAGTTTCTAAATTTAAAAAAACAAAAAATCCATCTATAGTTCTGACTTCTGTATGGCTGTTATGGCCTCTATGGGTCTTTAGTCTATGGCATCTATGGTTCTGACTTCTATAAGGCTGCATGGACCGTGGACCTATCACCTATGTCTTATGTATGGCCTTTGGGACTTTAGTCTAATGGCGTATGGCCGTATGCTTCCGATTTCCAACACAGTGTGGTACATATATAATCTTGTATTGGACTCTTGGATGCTCCATTCAATCCATTGACTCAATTTTTATTTACTGTAGTATAGGTACTAACTACAAGGTCACATGATGTTTTTTTTGTAGCGCGACTTCTTTTTATACTTTTTGTTTTAAAAACAATACAAAAAAAGGCTTTTATTGGTCTTCGTCTCAAACGAAATAAACACTGTGTTGTGAACTCTTGCTCTCCCTCTTGTGGTGAGTGTCTGTGTGACTGAGTGGACTGTGAACTGTGAACTGGGACGTGTTTGTAGTGTCTACTGCATAGTCACTCTACTAGTAGAGTATTGTGAACTGTGAAATGTGTGTGAAGTTGTGAAGTTGTGTGCTCTTCTTGTGTATCTCAAGTTCATCATGGCTCACCAGTCACCACATAACACATGTGTACTAGTGTCTACTGTCTAATCACTACTAATAGTGCACATAGCCTTCTTAATCAGACAAGAGGGCTATGTAGAGTGTGACTGTGAACTGTGAAATGTGTGTGAGCTGTGAACTGTGAAATGTGTGTGAACTTGTGAACTTGAGTCCTCTTCTTGTGTGTCTCAAGTTATTCCTTCTCTAACCAAGAAGTTGTTTGTTTGTTATCAGAAAAGAACGTTAAAATAGAGTATTCATATAAATACTCAAGCTAAATTTGTGGAATTGTGGAATGTTCGAGATTCTTCTCACTTCTTGCTTGTGTGTGTGAAGTCTGAAGGAAATAAATATTCACTTCAATGTTCTAAATTAAGGAGTCTATAATTTCAAGCCAAAAACAACTGATGATGTAAATATGTTGTGAAGTGTGAAGTGCGAACTTGTGAAGTGTGAACTCAGAACTGTCAAGTGTCAACTCACTCATCTGAGAGTAAAAAGTGTGAACTGTGAACTGTGAACTGTGAACTGTGAACTGTGAATTGTGAACTGTGAACTGTGAACTGTGAACTGTGAATTGTGAACTGTGAATTGTGAACTGTGAACTGTGAACTGTGAACTGTGAACTGTGAACTTAGAACTGTCAAGTGACAACTCAATCAACTGTGAGTAAAGTGTGTGAACTGTGAACTTGTGAAGTGTGTTTTTTAGTTGCGTGGAGAACTGGAGACTGGAGAGTAGTATTTATTTAATAAAAAAAGAATATGATCTATCATTTTGTTTTAAAAAACCACAAAAAAAACAATTGACAATTCTTGAGTCTTCTTGTTCAATTGTTGAAGACGACTGTAGCTGGAGTCCGGGTCACTCTGTTTGGGAGTGAGGAGTGAGAAGTAACTACTTAGGACTGAGGAGTCTGGATTCTGGACTCACTGGGGAGAGTCTTTGGACTCAGCTTCGTGAACTCGTGCAGAGTCGTGCTCGCTGGAGACGCTGGCGTGTGTACAGTGTATGGACTCTGGACTCTGGATTCTCTGGAGACTCTGGTGGGAGAGACTACATAGAGTACTTTTAGAGAGAGAGAGACCTCTAATAAAAATAAATAAAAATACATATTACATGGTGTCTCTTTACAGAGAGAAAGTAGAGTAGGTAAATATAGAGAGGAGAGAGAGAGCGAGAGACTGGGGGCGATAAAAACGATGTTAACGACGATAAAAAATATTGGGCCAGACGCCAGTTTGACTTTGTAAATAAATAGTTTGATTTGATTTGGTTTCTTTAGTTGTACTTTGTAAATTTTGTTTCCAAGAAAACAGAACAGTTTTTTTTCTGTAAAATATAATCAGATTTTCTTGTTTTTCTTGTTTTTTTAATGACTTTCATTGCATAGCCCTCTCTAGTTTGTTTTTTTTTAAACGAAAGGAAGGCTATGCTTAGCCTTAATTGTGTGTTCTTTTTTAACGTAAATGGTTTCTTTATCAATATTATATTGAAAATAAATCACGCATATGTATTTTTATATGTAGCTATAACAAGTAACACAAACATATCTAAATATGTATTTATATCTTGTTTTTTGTTTTCTGTTAATAAAAATTATAAATTTAAAAAATAGAAACCCCAATCACAACGATATATATTTATTCAATATTTTTATATGTTTTTGAAGTACTAAATAGTGATCAGCTGTTGCCACTATGTAAATGTTGTGTCAACAACACTGCCGAATGGACACACATCGCGGCATCTTCTTGAGAAGTTGAAAACCGGTATAAATACGTTGAACTGGTAGCGAAGTTACCGTCAGTATATCCCGTCTGTAAGATTTGGAAAGGAGATACTCTTCTCTTGAATAGACTACTTATTAAAGGCAGCATATACACTTTATTCGATATGAAAACTTCGATTCTGGTAGTCGCCGCTATCTTGGGCACTACACACGGCTGCACCGACTTCGTATTGAGAGATGCTTTGCCGAAAAACTTGGCTATCTCAGCCAGAAACATGGACTTTCATTTGGACATGAATACAGATGTAGTGAAAGTGAACCGGGGTATCGCTAGACAATCCTTGCCTATTTATGAATGTCCAGATTGTACACCAACATCTTGGGATGTTAAGTATGGTTATGTCTTTTCAGATCTCATGAAGCAAGATGTAGTATCCGATGGTTTGAATGAAGCAGGGTTGTCTGCAGCTATCTTAGTCCTGAGTCATTACTCACGCTTTCCTCACTACAATGTAACTGACTCACGGCCCCTGATGGGAGGGCAGAGTCTGCCCGAGTATATCCTAGGTACGTGTGCGGATGTCGCGTGCGCGAGAGAAGCAGTAGACAAGTTTCACATTGTTGCAGCGCAACATCCAATGATGGATTTGATGGGTGGCGACATTCCTTGCCACTTCAGCATTATGGACAAAGAGGGCAATCATTTGGTCATCGAACCTGTGTTCAACAAAACGGCCTCGCCAGATTGTCTAGGGCCGGATCACGATGAATCCAACAGTAAGATGTGTGTCTACGATAATAACGAGTACAAGGTATTGACCAATCACCCTCCGCTCGAAGAGCAGATTGCCAATATCAAAGCAAAGGAGGCTGCCGCTGGAGATGACTGGCAGAACTATTGGAGCACAATGCCAGGTTGGTACTTCCAACAACCCCGTTTCGAGCGCGCCGTATTCTTCAACCGACTTAGTCTGGAGAAAGGTGGTACGTGGATGCAAAAAGTGCCCCAAATTGAAAAATTGTATCAGACTACGGTTATGCTTGCACCTCCAGGAGAGTGGACTGAAACAATGCGAACAGCTCTTACGGCTGGGGCTGAAGCGGGCAGTGACGGAGTGTCAGACTTAGATGCTTTCTTGAAATCATTTGCTTCGCAGGTTGGGGCCTCCGACGAGCAATTGGCTTACATTTCGCAAACGTTGAGTGGTTTGAGTACAAGTATGGGTACAACTGTCGGTGAGTATCTTCACATTTTCGCTGAAATGGATGATCATATCATGAGTCATTTCCTTTCACAAAACCAGACATTCTCCAATCCAGATCCTGCATTTGACGCGGTGGCTAGAGCTCAGTACATCATTCAAGCCAATACAATGGTACCCGGATCTAGTTCTCAGCTAGGGTCCAGTCCGGTTACGTGTTGGACTGTTATTCGAGATCACACAAACCTGAGGTACTACGTTCGAACACCCGGTAATACTGGCTTAATATACTACGACATATCTAAAATGGACTTTTCGAATGGTGCAGGCCGTGTCTCTAACGCTGTAAACTGGGAGTATGCTTACCCTGATGTAACGCACCTGCTAGATGCAAGCGTTGCCCCGTCCACCACTCAGGCAAGCGGAAACTGCGCTTCAGGAGGTTCGTATGCCACACTAAGCTCGACGTCTGAATCAGGCAGTTCCGATTCAAGTGGTGTGCCGGTCTGGTCTCTGATTCTGACGGGCATCATAGGATTAGCCGTAGGAGGAGCTGGTGCATTTGTTGTGGTCAAGAAACAAAACAGAGACCGAAGACAGGCAGAAAGCACTACAGATCTCAGTGAATAAACACATGAAAGGGCATGTACATGGTTTTAGAAAAGAACTACGGAAACATGAAATAAAGCCAATCGGTTCATATTTGTTCTTTGCAGTGTAAAACATTATGACATGCTTGTGCACTTGAGGAATTCAAGGAGCACTGCACATTACCAATGTATACAACTCCCTTGACCATTGTTGTTCAATACATTGCATATATTGTGTGATACATACAACAGACAGTTGTATCTCTCCCTAACACAAATACTCCATTTGTTTTATGTATATCTTATAAAAACAGGAGACATGCAAGGTATGCAGGATATGATGAGTTCTACGGGAGATACTGATGGAGGCGGTCTCGGGGGCATAATGTACATATGGTGCAGCAGATGATCGGCGGCGGAGGGTTGCCAGGTCTTGGCGGGCGGCAGCAGACTGTGTTTGCCATTAGACATACATCACAAACCGCAGCGCTAGCAACTATCTACTGCACGTAATCGATAATAACACACACACACACACACACACACACACACACAATATATATATATATATATATATATATATATATATATATATATATATATATATATATATATATATATATATATATATATATTATAT